CAAAAAACAAAACAAAACAAAGTATTGTGTCTGGGTGTCACTTGCAGAGCTTCTAATGCAGGAAGTTTAGAGTGGGGCTCTGACTTCTCTCTTTGTACAGAGACACACAGGCAGCGTGGGAAATGGCTCCCTTGAGTCCTTTTGCACCTGGCTTTCACCGCTACCACTCATTGGCTGCTCTCTGGAAGGGCCCTCCAGGCCCTCAAGCATTCAGCTTGATTCACTTCCTCTTCTTGAAGCTCTCATGCCTTGCTTCCAGGCCCCTGCTGTCCCCTGGCTCCCCTCTGTCTGTGGCATTCCTCTGTTGGTTTCTGTGTGCCTCCTTTTCACTCTCTTCCTTCTCAAATAGGTAAAGTTTGGTATTGCTGCTTCATTTTTCTTCTTTGAGAACCACATTTTTTTTTGTTGTTGTTGTTTTAAGGAGGTTAATAGGCAAGAAGGGGCAAGAAGGAAGGGAGAAGGAAGAAAAAAAGAGGCTTCCCCCATGCAAAGACAGAGCCGGAGCATTGTGGGGTTCCAAAGCCCAAAGAGGAGAGATCCCCTCCTGCCACAGACACCAGCCAGGTGTATATGCAGGGACTGGAGGAGGTGGTGGTTGATTTGCATAGGGCTCAGGGGGAATTGGTTTTACTAGGTATGTCATTCATGTAGCCCACAAAAGAAGCCCTGCATTTGTATATCAAAGGTTGTTAGTCTAGTTTTCAGACTGGGCTTTGCAAGAAACTTTTCTGGAGATGCTTTAAAAAATGAAAACTTCCCAAGGACCCCTTTTCCTCTCTGTCTGCCTAAAATAATTTCTTAAAAGCTCCTACCACATTCCTCCCTGTGGCAATATCACACTAACTGCTGTTAGGGGGTTTTGGGCAATGACTCTTTCTGGCTACTTCCTGCTGAAAAGGGGCATTGAATGGGGAACAGCAGCCTAGGGCTCCTTCTGGCATCAACCTAAGGGTCTTCCGAAGAATGGTGTGTCCATGTGTGGGAGAACCACATTTCTTTCTTTAGAAAAAAAATAGAAAACTGCTAAAAAATATCCAAAGAGTCAGAAACTACCCCAAATCCTAGCACTGTTAAAAAGAAATCTGTCTTTATCTATATATAAAGTAAAATTTAGTCCTTCCAAATCATTCATCCTCCTTCCTTCATCTAATCCCATCTGGGAGGTAACCACCACTGACATACTGGTGGTTGCCTCCTTTTTTATATGTGTATATAGTCATGTCTCTGTATGCACATGCAAATATTTAAAAAATTCAAAATGCAATAGTTTCTGTGACTTGTCTCTTTTAAGCTTAACGAAATCACATATTCTGGGTAACTATCTATAGATTTACTTCATTCTTTTTAATGGCTACATAGTTTGTAATTCATTCTGCCATTCTTTCATTGTTAGGTCTTTAGTGATTCCAGCTTTTTATTGTAAGACGTACTGCTAGGATTGTCTTTGCATGTACCTCAGGATACATACTTAGAAATCCCAGCACTTCGGAAGGCCAAGGCAGGTGAATCACCTAAGGTCAGGAGTTCGAGACCAGACTGCCCAACATGGTGAAACCCTTTTTCTACTGACAATACAAAAATTAGTGGGCATGGTGGTGCCTGCCTGTAGTACCAGCTGCTAGGGAAGGTAAGGCCAGAGGATTGCTTAAACTCAGGAGGTGGAGGTTGCAGTGAGTCAAGATAGCACCATGGCACTCCAGCATGGTCAACAAATCAAGACTGTGCCTCCAAAAAATAAAATTAAAAGTTAAAAAACATAAAAAGAAATGGCCTGGTTGGCTCAAAGAAAGCGAACATTAAAATTTTGATAGCTAGCTACCAAATTGCTCTCCAAATATGTTGTTGGAGAAAGCCCTAAAGTGAGATTACTGAGTCACAGGGTAGGAACATTTTAAATTTTCATACAAATCTCCAAATTTTTTCCACAAATGTTTATGAGTGTGCACTCCTACGAATGATGTTTATCACTGGACTTTATCAATCTTATCTTGCCAGTCTGATAAGCAAAATATGATAGCTCGTTGTTGTTCTAATTCACATTCTGATTGCTCTGAAGGTTGAGTCATGTGCTTATTATATTTTGACTTTTTCTCTTATGTTGTTGCTATTCAATCTTATGCCTATTTTTCTTTTGAGGTGTACTTTTTTTTTTGAGACCGTTGCCTTGGCTGGAGTGCAGTGGCGCAATCTTGGCTCACTGCAACCTCTGCCTCCTGGGTTCAAGCAATTCTCCTGCCTCAGTCTCCCTAGTAGCTGGGATTACAAACACCCACCACCTTTTGTACTTTTAGTAAAGATGGGGTTTCATCATGTTGACCAGGCTGATTTAGAACTCTCGACCTTGTGATTCACCCCCATTGTCCTCTGAAAGTGCTCGGATTACAGGCGTGAGCCACCTCGCCTGGCCCATGTTTTTTAAAATTAAATTTTGGCGTGTCTTTTATTATTAAACATATTAACACTTTGTTCAACGTATTGCAGACGTTTCTCGGTGCCTGTCATGCTTCCTTTGATTTTGTTTATGGACTGTTGAATTGCACAAAAGTTTTTAATCATGTACTCAAATCTGTCAATTATTTTCTACCGCAGCTCTTGGGTTTTTTGTATTGCTTCTTTGCAACTAATACTGTTAAATTTTTTTAAAAAATATATCTTTAATTATTACATAAGGTAGACAGTTAAATTAATTTTTTCCTGAATGTACAGTTAACTA